AAAAATTAAGTGATCAGTTATGAAACATATAAATCTTTACATGTTCTGATAAAAAATATCTAAAATAACAAGCTCTATATCGTAACAGTGGCCACATTGCGTGTTTGTCACAGACACGGTTTATGTCAAAAATTTTGTAGTGAAACTACCTTCTAAAAATTATTGTATCATGTTATTCACTGAATTTTTCATCATTATTCTGCTTTAATTTTTTCCCATGCCCATAGATGTATTCAACCGCTGTTTCGCTATTCACTTGTGCGTGCCGAATCAATAAGATTCTGTCAAGTATCGTTAGACATAATAATGTGAAGCAGCAGTCCGTTAAAAACTGCTCATACATCAGTTACCACCCTTTCTTTATTTTAAAAAGTAGTCTATACTTTAGCCGTCTTCCTTTTATAATATTTTTTTTTTGTTTTTTTAATAAATTACGCTTTTTATCTTTCATTTTTTAAACTGTCCTATAAATGGGCTAAGGTTCCTTATAGGCTAATTTTTAAATAGAGATTTCTCGCATCAATAACAAAAATGGAACATGCTGTCAAAGTGAGAGGATGTAAAAGTTCGAGCTCAGTTAAATAAATTCAATTAAAGGTGTATAAAACCCGCTAAAATATTTAAAACTATAAAAACTAAAATAAATAAGTGAACTTGTTTAAAAAGTAAATTTTGTCTCTAATTAGTATTGCGAAACAAAGTTGAAAATGCCACCAAAAACAAGAACAAATAAAAAGCATAACAACAAAGAGCGTCTCTCAACATCGAGCGACACAAGCGACAATGAATCTTCTTCAGTGAACTTAACGGGGATTATTGACAATTTAAACAAAGAGTTTAAAGTGCAAGAGCGAGCGATGAAGAAAATAAGAGAATCGCAAGAACACATTAGGTCGGTGTTATGCAGACAAACTTTTGTTTGCCAAATTAAATGGCGGCTGCTTAGTTTGCTCGGAGGTGGTTATGTCGAGTTTGGCACAGGGTTGCACGTTCATTATGGTTTTCATGGCTATTGCCAACACGAAATGAGAATTTCAGATGTACATAACGCGCAAAATTTAAAATTTTTGTATATGACAACACCGAATTTGCTGCAGTTTGACCAAACAAAATTAGTTTGCTGTGAGAGTCGCCAAACTCGCTCTCTCCGAGTTTGCTGCAACAACAATTGCACGCAGTTTGCCAAACAAAATTTCTGCATAACACCGACCTTAGTGATAGCTTTGATGCGCTCAAAAAAGAGATCGATCGCTTAACAGAAGAAAACAAACAAATAAAAAAAGAGTTGAAGGAACTTAAAACAAACGGCGAAGGTGTCAAAATCAAAATGAAAACATTAGAACGAAATGTAATGGAAATAAAACAAGAAAGAAATAAAAACAACATAATAATAACTAATATACCACAAATAAAAGATGTGAATTTGAAGTCTGTAGTAATGGAAATTGCTGCACAAGTTAATGCAAATATTAATATTGATAGCATCGAGGATGTATATCAAAATGAAAATAAAAAATTTAAGACACACCCATTAATCGTCAAAATGAGCAGTAATGAGTTGAAAGCAAAATGCTTTGAGTTTAGGAAGAAAGGTTCGCATATAGATTTGAAGAAAATACTTCCAAACGTAGACATGAAGGGGAAAAAATATAAACTTCCATCAGCTGATGGAAAAAGAACTGAGCGATTTGATGAAAAAGGCTAAAAATGCAGCATACAAAAAGAGCTACAAATACGTGTGGGTAAAGGATGCAAAAATACTTGTAAGAAAAGATGATGACACCCCGGTGATACAAATTATGGAGCTAGAAGATTTAAAAAAGCTAGATTAATTAATCTAAATACATTTAAGTA